CCCTTCTTCTAGCCTCTAGCTTTAAGAAAGGACACATGCTCTTCTAGATTCTTTTCAGGGAGAGGCCCTTGGTGGTCCAGAAGAAAGACTTCGGAAAGAAGTCCCCACGTAAAGGAGCCAGTGCCTTGAGCATGTCCTTATTTCCAGCTTGAGGCACTAAGGACTTTAAGGAATTTCCCCTGGGGTAATATTGAGTATTCTCTCATTGAGCTGAAATATCTCACTCGTAACAGAAAAGCTTATTCACTTGGTTTATTGTTTGGTATATTCTCATCTCTCTAATTTGTTTATAATCAGCTTGATTAAATGTGTTTATTTACTATGCAAGATATATGTGCGTATACATACATACATATATACACATGTGTGTATATATGTAAGATATTTTATATGACTAGAATTTGGTAGAATCAAGCCTTTGGATATTGCTTAGGGCATTCTTTCTTGGTTGAGGGATAGAAACCAAGAAAAGCAACTTGAACCTAAAAATTAATTATATATTTGTGTGCATGTGTATGTGTGTGTGTGTATATATATATATATATATACACACACACATATATGTATATATGTATATATGTGCGCATGTATATATGTGTGTATATGTATATATGCGTGTGTTTATATTTTACATGTGTATATGTATATTGTGTGTGTACATGTGTATATACATATGTATATATGTGTATGTGTATAAGTGCATATCTACATGCATATATATACATACACACATTGTATGTGTATGTGTGTGTATATATATACATATATATATATTTTATATTAGTGTCTCCTCTGTGAGGAAAACACAGTAAATCAGCCTCATGGTCCCATTCTCCTGTTCCTCTCCTGGAAGGAATCAAAGTTTCCTTGTGGAGGGGTAGTTGAGAGTCAAAGATCTGTGCTTCCCGGAGAGCCATATTTAGACAAACATATGTGGATGTACATATAACCGACACGGGTGAAACAAATACTCTACCATAGTAGCATAGACTTAGATGGAGCTGGAAAGGTCCTCAGAGGCCGTCTATTCCAACTCTCTCATTTTACAGTTGAGAAAATTGAGGCTTGGCAAGATTAAGTGATTTGTCCAAGGAGACACAGGTAGTAAGTGGCAGAGCTGGGATTTAAACCTACTCTTCTGACTCCAAATCCAATGGAGGAACAGGTGGTTCACAAATTCGACTTTCTAAAAAGAACTTATCTAGCATGGTTTCCTTAAAGGTTTGGCATTTACCATTAAAAAAGTTAACATTTCAATTTTCTATGTTAATTTAACTCATATCTTTCATTGAAATTACTTTTCTCTCATTTTGCTTTAAAAGAAAAATAAACATCTCAACTCCAATTAATCTTTGATTTTTTAGTGGTTAGAAGCACTGGTTACTCTTTTGGAACTTTCTTTGGATGACATGTTATCTAAGCAACTCTTTCATAGTATAGATTGCTATGGATTAGTATTACATTAAACTATCTGGAGGCTTTCAGGTAGGGCAAGGAAAAATGAAAACAGTAACAGAACAGAGACATCCTGGAGAAAAGCAGAGCCATAAGTAGGGCAATACAACCAGGGTTGAGCCCTGTGCACTGATGGAGAGCAGAGCTGGTGGGGGCAGTACCCTTCTTCCACAGCAATGCATTATCTCCACACTTTTAAGTCCTCTGCCAGCCCCTGCCTTCTCAGGAGTTGGGTGGGAAGAGGTGGATCCTAGGAGAGGATGAGACAACGGAGTCACAGAGCAGCAGACGGGCAGAGGAGAGGGAGGGAGAGAATTTATAACTCAAAATTTTAAAAATGAATGGTAAAAATTGTTTTTACATGTAATTGGGAAAAGTATTATTCAAAAAACAAAAATAAATGTTGCTCAATTGATTGAAAAGCCTATGTTCAAATGATATTGCTGACAAACCCCTAAAAGGAAATTGAACTTAAACAGAGAACTGGGGTTGTCACAGACATTTATAAAATGAAATCAATGACATGGGGCCATTATTCTACCTAAGAATCTAAGAACTAGTGGCACTAACATATTTTGAGACAATTAGTTTTTCCTTTTTTATCCCTAAAAAAGTCATATTATTGTTTATGGAATAATGAGATGAATTCTTAATAGTAGCTAGAAATTATAAGATTACAGAATAAAAAGAAGAAAAGCCATTACCTCTCCCAAGATTTCATCATCAAAATGTGAAAATGTCTAAGAAAAAAATTAATATAAAAAACAATAGGTAAGGAACAGAGGAGATACATCTCGCCATCTGTGCCATTCTTGATCTGGTGAAAAAGCACACTATACCCCATAAGACTATAAGCTCTCTGAGGGCAGGGACTGTTTCACTATTGACTTAGTATCCCTAGCATTTAACACAGTACCTTGCACAGAGGCACTTAGGGACTTGTTGATTCATTGGTTATGACTAGAAATTTTCAAACTCAAGGAAACTAGTATGAAATGTACCTAAAATTAAACTTTTAAGACAAATTAATTTGTTAAGGGGAGGGAGGGAAGCGCCTGGATCCTATCCTCCATGAGTAGAGACACAGTGAGACTATTGCTGGAAAGGCCAAACTAGAGGAAAGGAAAGAGGAGGAAAAGGGAATGGGGGGAGAAAGTTGCCACTTCCTTTTTTTAACACAAAAATTTTTATTTATTTTAAATAAGTTTTAAGCTATTTCAGATTTAGGGGGATCTTTAAAAAGAAAACCAAATTAAATCCACTTCCATGTCTGCTGTTTTTTTTTTCCTTATGAAATTTATATGATGCTGGTAGGTCATATTGTAGCTCTGCTATAACATATATCTTAATTTTTCATTCATCTGCTTTCTTTTGAATATGTGCTTGGGTTGAAGGGCTACTCTTGCCATTTGTAAAGCAATCTTCAGAAATGACATCCATACCTTTATTATGCTTGGTCCCAAAGGGAGGATTCATGATTATAGTGACAAAAGATTTGGCCCCTTATAAGATAAAGAACATAGATTGTACTTTTGAAACTCTTATTCTGTGCTAGTACTTTCAGCACTCTATAAATTTCAGTACCCTGGGTTAAAGTCCCAGTAGTCCTTCCCTAGTTACAGACACTGATGCACTGATCTCTGTAGGTGGAAACTTTTATTTTGAATTCTAACAAGTATAGCTACTGACCACCATTCCAATCAGCCCAAGGTTTTTAAGTCTTATCTCCAGACTGTCCACCCCAAGCCTGGCTACTCCTATGTTGTAGTATGCTACATCCCAGGCCAAAGGCCCCTCCAGTCACAGATCCTACTGCCAGGTTAAAGGCCATAGCTGCCATGGTCAGCCTTAAGCCCAAGGCTGAGGCTCCTAAAGTAGTAGCATCAAGCCAGGAATCTCCTATCATTCCCACAACTGCCACCACCACCTCCCCTGAATGGAGGAGGAGCAAATGGGATTAGAGGGACAAAGATTTACAAAGGTTTATTCACTTATATTATATATTCACTTATATCCAGAGAACATTGCACAGAAAAACTGACCTCTATTACCACTCCAGTCCTGGGAAGGAGGAGGAAAAAGAAAAGAAGTAGAACTGCATGTAGGAAATAATGCAATTACCCACGAGAGAGGCAACATAAAAAGTAAGCATTCTTTGGTTTGCTTAGTAATGACTGCAATTTATCCTCACCTCTCCCCAGAATAAAGCAAGATTTGGCAATCCCCTATGACCACCTT